CCGTGGTTCCTCCCATGTCGACCCTGCCATTAGCCGAGGGGCCGTATGGTCTGGACAATCATATCCTGGGAGGGCAGCCGAGGTCACGCCAGTTGCAGACGCAATCCCCATGGCCACTTCAACAGCCAGCCACATAAGGAGGTGCTGGCCGCTGTGCCAGGGTAGCTCACCACAGAGCCCTCCAGAGAGGACTTCTAACCACCAGTGTGGCTGGGTGCAAACCCCACAATGTTCAGGTGACCCTAGGAGATGGCCAGGAGTGACCTGAGAAACCACGTGTACCTGACGGTTGCTGGAGGGTTCCTTCCCCTCAGGTCTAAGGGGAGTTCAAGATATACCCCAAGCTCAACTAAGGGAAAAGCAGGTTACGTTTTTGTACACCTGCCGTGTCAACTTTCCGGTACTTCCCATAATCAGGTATTCCTCCTCTTTTCTTTTTCTTTTCTTTTTGAGAGGTTTTTTCCTATAGAGCGTGTGCCCTCGCCAGAAAGACACAGAAAGAGAGAAAGTGAGAAATCACCCCCTGGGGAGATGGCCACACTGCAATCCCTTCTCCTCCATTCTCTCTGGATCTTGGGCACGCATGCACACGTGCCTGGTGTGAGTTTAAGCTACTGGGTCCAGGACTTGAACCGCAGTCAACTACATGGGAGTCCAGCCACATAGCCATTACGCCAACTGCTGGTCCCCTCCTCTTTCTTTTCTGACCTGGAAGGGATTCGTGCAATGTGGGAAAGGGGATTAAAGGGCTCTGGTGACATAAACAGACAGCGTGGAATCATGGTGGAAGGGACTCCACAATTCCTTTTAGTTTCTGAAGCTTGGTTCTCCTCTGATGCCCTCTGTTAAGGCTGCCATATATAGCCTGCCATTCATCGGTCTGTCCATCACAAATCTGTCATCCGGCTATCCATCTGTCTGTCTGTCCATCCATCCGTCCTTCCTTCCATCTCTCATCCATGCATCCGATGAAGAAATACATCTCCTGCAGCTTCTGCAGCCTGCCTCCTGTCCTAATAGCTGCCGGTCCAGCCTCGTTGGAAGGAGTCGTTCCCTGGATGTGCTTTTTTTTCCCCAGATGATAATTTTTATCCATTTAAAACTGCCTAACTTCATTTAGTTTAGCCATTTTGAAAAGTGAGTTTTCTAAAACAAATCATAAACTTGTCTTCTTTTATAATAGAGGCTCTGCCACCTCATCTAAATCTTTCTGGGTGATCCCGGTCATTGCTCTGGATGGCAGTCAGTCACACAGTTCGTTGTAAAAGCAGTGCTATGAACCCCCAGGGGCGATTCACGACCCTACACTCAGCAGCCCCAGTTGCTCTGCTTTTTGATACTTTCTTTTGTACTCCCCCCTCCTCCCCTGATTCTGAGATCCTGATTATCTACCACTTATGGTTTTCAGCATGCTTCTAGCAGTTTCTTCTTTCAATGGCTTTGAGCTCAAAAATTTTGATAATCGAATCATTAAATCTGTGTATAAAGCAGGAGTCCTGAAGTCCTTATTTACCGGACTCGCTATTATTTTCCAAGTGCAGAACTCCTGCCTTGGAGCCCCTAAGTGTGCTTCCTTCTGGGTTCTCCACGACTTTCCAGGCAGTTGAGGCTCTTGGATGTGTGAGCCCTAGATGGGAGGCGGTAGAATGTAGAGGAATTGTTCCACGTGAGCCTCCTGCTTTCTCTTTTGCAGAAAGGTAAGAGATGCCGGAGACTGCCCTGGCTGACTCCTCCCACCCAGGGGGTGTTGGAGAGATGGGAGCACAGGGTGGGGCCAGCTGGGTCAGTGGTGTCCGAAGTTTCTGAGGGAGGGGGAACGGCTGGGCCCCACTGATAGTGAGCAGGTGACTGGGGAAGGGGCATTGCCTTGTCTTTGTTCTTGGAGGCGATGGCTGGTGTGGATGGTGGAAAGCCCTGGGAGCCCAGCCCAGAGCCCGAGGACCTGGGCTCCTCTCAAGGCCTGAAGCAGAACTGGCACCAGCGGTGAGATGGGCACTTGGGGTGGTGTTTGGGGGGGAGGGGTCTCAGCTTGTAAACCCCTCACATGACACAGAGGCACCCAGCGACTTCTTTAATACAGATGGGGGACATCGAAAACACAGGCAAGTGCCCGCACTCATGGGTGGTGGAAACAGTGACATTACACACTCCTATAGGGAGTGTCCTCCACTTCCTTCCCTCCCTCCCATACAGATCTCTTCCTTCCACCCTGACTCAGAGCCATGCGCTCCCCAGTTGTGACAACACGGCAAGCAAGCCCTCACTGCCAGCCACATCCTCACTCACGGATAGATGCCCACAACACAAGCCTGTGTGGTGAGACAGCGAGCTGCTGACTCTCTGAACCCACTCACACACTTGAGTGCACACTCACACACACACACACACACACACACACAGACATATGTTCACACACATGATTTCGTACATGCAGGCATGCTCTTGGACCCACACGTACACACACACATGCACACATGTGTGTTAAAACACTGTCAGACCCAGAAGAGACCCTGTCTTGGCCTGATCCACCCCCCCCCCCACCCACAAAGACCCCCCCACACACACACACACACACACACACAGACATATGTTCACACACATGATTTCGTACATGCAGGCATGCTCTTGGACCCACACGTACACACACACATGCACACATGTGTGTTAAAACACTGTCAGACCCAGAAGAGACCCTGTCTTGGCCTGATCCACCCCCCCCCACACACACACACATCATTCCTGGAGCTGCAGAAGCTACTCTGCCCTCCTCTGCTGGGTTCCACACACTCCTTGGGTCTTGAACTTTGGGGGACTGGCCTGCTGATCACAACTGCTCTTTCTCCCCAGGATTTTTGTCAATCGTAGCCTGGCTCTGGGGAAGATCCGCTGCTTTGGCTTTGACATGGACTACACTCTGGCTGGTAGAAGGCTGGAATGCCGGGTATCTGGGGCTGAGGAACGGGGTGATCGACCAGACACCTATCAGCCTGGCTCTGCTTGCCCTGCAGCCTACAAGTCCCCAGCCTACGAGGCTTTGGCCTTCGAGTTGCTGCTGGAGCGCCTGGTGTGCGTCGGGTATCCACACGAGATCCTGCGCTACACCTATGACTCTGCCTTCCCCACCAGGTGTGGAGCGTGGCTGGAGCCTAGGGGGGGTCATCCTGGCCCTGGCACCCCCATCACAGCCCTGTACTCTCCCCAGGGGCCTGGTGTTCGATGCACTCTATGGGAACCTGCTGAAGGTGGACACCCATGGGAATGTGCTGCTGGGAGTCCATGGCTTCGCCTTCCTCTCTGAGTAAGGGACACCGGGTGGAGGGAGGCTGGAAGACAAGAAGGAGAGGATGCTCCTCATGCTGCAGGAGGGAAGTAGAGAGGATGGAGAGAGACAGGAGTGACTCAGGACAGAGGAGGGAGGGTATAGGAGGGGTGGAAGTGGGGAGGAATGGCAGAAATGGCCTCTAGGAAGCTGTGGGGAAGAGGTAAAGGCTGCACTCAAGCCACCTGCTCTCCAGGGCTGAGATCTGGAGCTTCTACCCCAGCAAGTTCATTCAGAGGGACGACCTGCAGCGGTTCCACATCCTCAACACGCTCTTCAATCTGCCTGGTGAGGGCTGGTGCAGGGAGGTGGTAGGCAGGGGTACAGCTCTGGCCAGGGGACCGCTCCCTGGGCCGGCACTGACCTGCCTCTTTGTCCCAGAAACCTACCTCTACGCCTGCCTGGTGGACTTCTTTTCCAGCTGCTCTCGCTACACCAAGTGCGTCCTGCACCTTGCCCACCCTTGGGCGACCAATAGATGCTTCTGCTGCGCAGGACCCAGACCCCAAAGTGGTGGCTCCACTAAGGGGATGAGGGGCCCCGGGAGCTCTGCAGGAAGTTCTGTCCCCAACTCTGTAACTGGGGCTGCCTCCAAGGGGTGACTCTCAGCATGGGGTGATGTCCCTTCCAGGACAGTTGGGACATATGCCCAGTGTAGGCCCCAGTGTGGCTGAAGGGGTTGCTCTGGAATAGGCCCCAGGGTTGGTGGTTACTTCAGGTCACCTTAATGGCCTCCCCTGTGCCCTCTTGGCCTACCCAGCTGTGACACTGGCTATCAGCATGGGAATCTCTTCATGTCCTTCCGAAGCCTCTTCCAGGATGTGACTGATGCCATGAATAATGTCCACCAGTCGGTGAGTGGTCCAAGACCCCAGGACCTCTGGCCTGTCTGCCCTGGGCCACCTCTAGGCATCCAGTTCCCACAGACTTTGCACATGAGGGCAGGCACACACACACACACACACACACACACACACCTCTGCTCTCTCTGCAGGGCTGTCTCAAGGAGAAGACCTTGGAGAACTTGGAGAAATACGTGCAGAAGGATGTGAGTGGCCACAGGCCTCAGACCATACCCAGGCTTGGCCGCCCCCAGCCCGCAGCAGCAAAGCTGTCCTCTCCCTGGGCTTCCCCCTCTCGGTGTAGACAGAGCTCTGCACCCGGGCGAGGCACAGGGCCTTTCTGTCTCATCTGAGCCCAGCTGTTTTGGGAGGCTGGGTGAGGGGTGGGCTTGCAGGGGGCGGACACCTGAGAAAGGAATCCCAGAGCCAGGGCAGCTTCAGGAAACCCCACCCCTGGTAGTCCTCAATCTCTGCACCAACCAGGCACGAATCCCCATCCTGCTGGGCAAGATGAAGGAGGTTGGGAAAGTGTTTTTGGCCACGAATAGCAGCTACAACTACACCGATGTGAGTGTGCACGGGATGGGTGGGGACTCCTTTCTGGCCCCAAGGGACACTGAGGCACTGCAGGAATCTGTGAGGGTGCTTGTGAGGAGCCTGAATCCTGCTGCCCTCACTGGCTGGCATCTTGGGTGCAGTTTCTGGGCCTTTGAAGGCCTCTGTGAATGAGCAATTGTCACACATCTTGTTCTTGTTCCTGGAGGCCTGGTGGGGTGAGCACAGAGGCAGGCAGTGGCCCCTGGATCCAAGCTCAGTGCTCTGACCCCTGCCCTGTCCCTGGCAGGCCATCATGACCTACCTGTTTGGCGTCGGTGAGGTGAGTACTGCATGCACGGGTGCAGGGTGGGTTGCACCAAGGCACCGTGGAGCTGAGGCCTCTCCATGCCCAGCCCTCCCCATGAGGAAGACCCAGGCATGTGAGGGGCCATTTCACCTTGCTGGAACTTCCCCAGTCAGAGGGAGGCCAGTGAGCTCCTAGTTCCTGGGCCTGGCATGTCTCATCCGGCTGGGAGGCTGCCTGGGAAGAGGGTGGGCTGTGAGGGAGCCCCGCCGTGGCAGGGACAGATTTTCCAGGCTGTGTGTGCACCCTGTGTGCCCACACATCCTCCCACATGCCTGCCCCACAGCCCGAGGTGTCAGCCAGACCCTGGAGGTCCTACTTTGACCTGATTGTGGTAGACACACAGAAGCCCCGCTTCTTCGCAGAAGGGACAGTCCTGAGACAGGTCAACACGGTAATGGCAGTGCTGCGGCCCCATCCACCGTAACCTATGGGCCTCGGGTCAGAGAGGGCGCCTAACTGTCCCTTAGACCTGACATGCTTCTGGCACTGCTCCTCTGCTGGCCTGTCTGTCCCTGGAGGTGGGGAGTCAGGGGGCTCCTACAGGGGCCTCTGCTGTCTGCTATCTTTATGCCCCCATGGCTGCCCCTGCTGCTCCCAGCTCCCCAGCCCACTCTGACCAGGGAGCTGTAGCTCTCCTGGCTTCAGAGCATCCCTCTTCTCCCTCCAGGACTCAGGGAAGCTCCGTGTGGGCACCTATACAGGGCCCCACCAGCACTGTGCTGTCTACTCTGGAGGTACCAGCCCCCATCCATGCCCATCCTCCATGGCACCCTCCCTCAGCCAGGAGCCCGTGTCCCCTGCCCTCCCTGCCAGGGCAGGCAGGGTGAGTGAGCGTCTGTCCTCCCTTGGGTGGGGGCAGGCTCATCGGATGTGGTGTGTGAGCTGCTTGGGGTGCGGGGGAAGGACATCCTGTACGTCGGGGATCACATCTTTGGGGACATTCTCAAGTCCAAGAAGCGGCAGGGCTGGCGGACTTGCCTGGTGGTTCCTGAGCTGTCCTGGGAGCTGGATATCTGGGCCCGGGAGAAGGGTGAGCCCTGGGGGGTCAGGGACAGCAGGGGCCCCGGCCACCAGTGCATAGGCCTGCCCCATGGGGGTCAGCTGGAGCAGGAATCCGGTCCTGTGGAGAGGATCCTGATGAGAGAGGATTTATTTCATACACAAGAAAACAGACCCAGATAGCTTAAGCACCTTGCTCCAAGTCACACAGCCAGAGGAGCAGAGCAGGACTCAGATCGTCATTGCCTGGCCCCTGAGTCCAGAAGTGTAGAAGTGTTTCCATGAGCAGAGGTTCCGTCTGTACCCTGCCCTCCACCGGCCCTGAGGACTTTCAGTGAGCAGAAAGTACCTCCTCTGGCCCCCGCCAAGGTCTGACTTACTGTCATCCTCAGCGTCAGGACTGCTGTGGGCCCAAACAATTTGGGGTTTGTTCTGAGAGCTGAGCTTGAGTCATCGCCTTGTGACTTCAGGAAGGTCACCTGACTCCCTGAATGCCTTCTTTACCTGTCCCATGGGACCTGCCCTGTCCCTGCTTTGCTCTGGGTGGGGTTTCACCTGATGTGAGGGGTCAAAGATGTTATTCACACAGCTGGGCCCCAAGCAGACAAAGATAGACAGGGTCAGAGGGTGGCCCGGGCTGGCACTCAGCCCACTGTCCCCTGCCTGTTTTTCAGAGCGGTCAGAGGAGCTGAAAAGGCTGGACATGTGCTTGGCAGACCTATACCAGTGAGAGTGCTAGCCTTCCTGCGGTTGGGGTGGGGTGAGAGAGGGGCCAGGCCTGGCAGCGAGGTCCTGGCCAAGTGCGTCAGGAAACCTAGAAGTGTCCCAGCCTGGGCTTCCTAGTAAACTGGGCTTCGAGACACTGGGACCCTTTGTGCTGCTCACACTGTGTGACTTATAGGCCACCCCCCAGCCCAGCACCTCTACTGGGTGCCCATGGGGTATCCCTGCTACCCCATCTCACGCAGGGCCTGGGGAGGTCATGCCTGGAACTCCGAGGCCTGTTCCTCCTGGGTCACGTGGTCACTTTTGCACCAGGCACATGGATGGAAGCAGTCAGGGGCTGCAAGTCATCAGTTCCACCAAGCAGGAGATTCAGGTGAGAGCTGGTGGGATGAGGAAGGGTGGAGAGGGGGCACCTCCTGGTGGCCTACTGTCCCTGCATTATCCCAGGTCTCAGAGGCCCTGGTGATCTGCTTCTCCCTGACCTGCCAGAGTGCTGCCTGTCCTTGTCAGCCTGCGCCCTCTGCTGGCCACAATTCCAAATGGCAGCCGTGTGTTGAGGAAGGTTCAGCGGAACCTGATCTGTGGGGCTCCCCTCCAGTCCCTCAGTCCTCACCATCAGCCCTCCTTGAGAAGTGCCTGTCTGCTGGCTTGGGTTCTCACGTGACCGACTAGCCAGCTGTGATCAATGTGATCAGCCAGGGAAAG